CAAGGTCTGTTTAATTAACCCATTGAGCACCAGTGGTCTCCCCATAATGAGTAAAATTGTCCTGCATTAGACAGAGTTTTAAAATAATAAAGTGGGGTGCATTGGGGAGCACTGTGCAACTTAATGGGTTAAAGAGTAAAACTTCTAAATCTCATCACAGTATTCAACCATTGACTATGCATGATCTCATTTTCTATATAGATTTGGTTGTACCCCATTACATCAGGCTGCATATTTCAGACGTCTTAAATGTTGCCAAATGTTATTAAATGCTAGTGCTTGGGTTGATGTTCAAGAATCTTGGGGAAGAACACCAGTATTTCTTGCAATCGAGAAGAGAAATATGTAAGTTTATATTGTACTTAAACTTGGCTATGTTAACTTTGTGTATGCTAGGTAGATCTATAAGTTCTACTAATTGGTTTCTACCAACATTCTGATGGCCTCGTTAACAGAAAGATTACTTGGTGTTGAGGGTACTGCTCTCATCCTTCAATTGGTGAATATGCAATAAAATCTTTCAGCAGCGTATGCAACAGAACGTTAGAGTTTGGGGGGCTAGGTCAGGTTTAAGTAGTGAGGGACATGCTCCCTGGACAATTTTAAAATCTAAAGTTGTGAGTAGTGAGGGACATGCTCCCTGGACAATTTTGAAATCTAAAGTTGTGAGCAAATATTGACATTTCAGTATCTTAACTGTTTCCAGCCAACTGTACAACAGCATATTATAAATATTTAATAATGAAGTTGATATCTGGAGGGGCTTAGCAGTTAGTAAGCTGTTTTGCCACTTATTTTCACCCATTGAGAAGCCTGGCACACATGATGCAATTTTAATTCAGTCATTAAAATCGGGCAACTAAAACTGGCCAACTAAATTTGCATCATGTGTGCCCGGAGACAGAGTAAAATAATAAAGTAGGGCACACTGCAATGCAGCTTAATTTAAGGAGTGCTCTTTTTTTATTTCCTTCATAGTGATATTGTAACATTACTACTTCAACGCAAAGCAAATGTTCATATCGCAGACAGTATTAAAGGGCACACATCACTGATATTAGCTGCTTCACAAGGTGACACAGGATGTATGAGACTTCTGCTTGATTACAGTGCTGACCCAAATTGCCAAGATATTTTTGGTCAAACACCACTCCATCACGGTAGGAAATAATTATAATTCTTCAATTATCAATAATGCATAAACAAAACACAAAAAGAAAACTGTCTTGACACATTAACCTTTGGCTTTGTGTTGAACTTGTCTAGACTTACAATATTGGTTTGACTCAAACACTGAAAATTGTTTATAGTGAAAACCACCTCTAAACCATCGTATTTTTAAATTCCCATTTTTGGTATTAAGTTATTTATTTTTACGATTAATAAAGACTTAATAGGCAGTTTCGCCTCAAACAACAAACAACTTTTTGGTAATTTAAAATCACAGCTACTGTAAAATTATATAATAAACTCATTTTATCACAAAAATATACAAAACCTTTGCTGCAAATTAAGTGCAAACTATAGCTATGCCTGTAGTTTCAATGCTTAATGTATACTTATCTAGTTGTGAATGAAACCACAGATGACAACACAGAAAAATGTATCAGGCAACTGGCAGCATATGGAGCAGTTTGTTCGAGAGACAATAAGGACAGATCACCTGTTGATATACTTTTGGATAAAAACAGGTTTTCTGATGCTGAAACGATGATACAATTAACATGTAAGATAATATCAACTTTCTTCTATGACTATGATCTCAGTCATTTCTTTGTACATCATGCACGGACAAAATCTTCGAAATATTTTGGTTGTTGTTGTCGTCATTGTTGTTGACTTTCCTTTCACCAAATTTTCATTTTTAGGCAAACCAAGAACTTTACGAAGTATATGCTGGGTAAAAGTGAGACAAAATTTACAGACGCAGAAAATCTTGGATTTGCGAGAGCTTAAAATTCCAAAATGTTTAATTAGATTTATAGAAGATGATTTAGCGTTCCTAGAAACGAATTAGATATTTAGATTATTTTATAAGTTGTAAAATAGTTGTACGTACGTAAGATATAAGTGTATGTATAGTACTATCTGTAAAAATATTACATTGCCATTGGTTGTAATATTGACCAATATTGACTATTGAGTATTAGAAGTATTGTTATTATTTGTAATTGTGTAATTGGTACTGTGATATATATGGAGGAGGTATAGAAAATATCTGGTAGACATATATGTTTTGAGTATTTTATGGTGACGAGTTTAAAGTTCTGAAAAACCAATGGCAATGCCAGTTTAGGACAGAAAAGTTTCGTGATTTTAAATAAACTAAAAAGTTAATAGACAAAAGTTGGGAACTTAACATGTATCTATTGTATGTATGAAAATGTGGACCATTTTCAGATTTTACAGTTGGTCTAGTGAATATTGGAGCGTTTAACACACACAAATTGTGAACATTTTATACGCGAGAATGAATAAAATTTGAGGTAAAAAGACGAGGGTATTTTTCATCAAAACGCCGATAGGCAAAACAAAACCTGTCAAAAGTGGTCAAAACCATGCGCATAGCGCAGAAAATATCCAAGATGGCGGACGATGACAAACTAGACAGTCACAAACATCGAAGAAAGAAAGCTGGTACGCCTGAATGGAGTGAAACCTGCATTGGTTTTTGGAGCAAAACATATAAAGAAATACCTGGCAAAGAAAATGAAGAACAGAGAAGATGCAGGGGGATTAGTATACTACATTTAAATAAGGTATATAACGTATATTGTATGAACGTTTGAGAGTAAAAAGTAAAAAATAAAGATGTAGTAAAAAATAAAGAACTAGGAGTAGTGTTAAGAATACATTTCTTTATTCCTAGTTTGCCAGTGCTAACAAGGCCAAAAGTATTCCAACCACTGGAATTGAGATTGTTATACGAGAAGGAGGTCAGTTGTTAATTAAGTATTCTTGCTGTAATACATTTATATAAAGTTGAGGAAGAAGCTCTTAATTTATACTTCCCAGTTCCCACCACCCTGGGATAGTTTTGTTTCGTGGTTGTTTTATATATGTATATTGTTCTTATATGGCAGACAAAGTATCTGCAACACGTAACCTTCATCCTTTCCTTGGCATCTTCGTAGATGAAAAAATTGTAGACAAAAAGATGAAAGACATGGAAAGGTATACACATATAAATACTCTATACAAAATAACAGTAACTCTAAATAACATTTTGATTTTTAATCGACGTTTCTACTAGTTAGTCATCCTCACTAGTAGAAACGTCGATTAAAAATCAAAATGTTATTCGGAGGTACTGTTATTTAATTTGTATTTTCTTAAAATACTGAGTGGTTCCCCGTTAAATAATACTCTATATTTCTACAGTAAGATTTCAGGTTGACAGGGTAGCAGATGTTTGTCAACTTTAAAAAATATCAACACTGATAAGAGAACCACAAAAGTTAAACTGCATTCTTCAATTAGCCTTTATCTCACATTGGAGTTATTTATTTGTCACTTTTGAAGTACTATTAAGTCTGAGCCTGAGTGTACTCACTGCAAAATCCAACTGTTTATCAGTGCTGTAGTTAGGTGTATAATAGTAAATTTGCAGTTAGAACTTTGTTAGATCAAAACTGTCTAGATTCTCGATCTGATTTGGGAGACCGTAGTGCAATACGCATATATGGTTACATATATGAGAATAGTTCATTCTATTGTAGAATAATATTGAGAATAGTTCATTCTAGTGATTGACCGATTGTGCAACAATCAGAAATTGCTGATTATTCATGCCACAATCTGCCAGATACCGATTTTATAATGATATCATAATATCAGTTGAGCAAGTAAAGGTGACATCATTCATGACGATTCTTAACAATATTTTCCAATGTAACATTTTGTGTACTACAACCAAAGATTGTTAAAACCGTTAATAAATTTGTGCTTCACTGCATTGAAACGCAACATGTAAAGTGTGTATTTTCTCAACAATTGGTTTTAGACAATCTGAAATATAGATAATTCTGCCAATTCCCATTGTCTACCGATAAGGCAAACATTGGCCTGATACCGATTGTCGGACAATCTTTACTATTTGCCACCAAATGGAATAAATAACATTGTTCTCACTTTGATAACTGCTGGTTAATGACAGAAATACTACCTGAAATTATTGCCATATGTGGGACTACTTTGATTATTATTCATAGCACTCAAGATGGAAAAGTCGATGGAGACAAACTGAAAGATCAATCTGATGAGATAACTCCTAAAATTATTGAGCAAGTTGTAGAAAATTGGGGCAAGAGATGCCATAATATTGGCAATAGATTGGTAAAATACTACCATGACCCAAGCTCAAGTACAGGTGAATATTGCACACATATTGAGTGATCACATCTATTGTCTGCTCAGTACTGTCACAGTCGTGTCATTCCCGTAAAGAACTTATCAAAATCAGTAAAATTGCAAAATTTGGTTACGAAATGTTGTAAAATACAGAAATATAGCCTCGCGAAGTTTGCATATTTTCAGTATTTTGAACCAAAAATGGTAACAATTTCCGCACGTAATACAAATATACTGAAAATATGCAAAATTCGCAAGGCTACATTTTCTGTATTTTACAACATTTCGCAACCAAATTTTGAAATTTTACTAATTTCATTACGTTCTTTTTAACTGTTGTGTTTGATTCCCTTCTCTTCACTTAGATTAAAATTTAGTCTAACATGCAAGTTGTCCATTTCTGTCTTTTATTAGAAATTTTGACAGATGTTAAAAAAGGTGTATCAAGTGGATATGAGACTACACTTCGTATTTTATCATATTGTCAGCCTCAGGAAAAGGCCAAGCAGGTACGTACAGTAACAGTAATCAAGAATATATTTAATTAATTTAATATTGCTTTGGCTTATATTGTTTAAAATTCTTGATTTTCAGATATCTAATTTTATAAGTGAGCGTTTGAAAAATGCTTCAAAATGGTGGAAAGAGTGAATGCACTGGAAAATTAGCTATGAATTGACACAGATCTCTTCCGTGACATGAGTGTATATATCTATATTTATGAGAATAGATTGTTCCAGAAACGATTACCACTCCCCCCTCCCCCGCAGAGGGAATGTGTGCTGTATGGGGAAGGGGAGGATAAGGTCTACTTCTGATAATAGCTAAGATGTGCAACTGTAGGATTCCCAAAGGCAAAGGCAGGGTCAACACCTGTTTCTCAAGTAAAAAGGTATAAATATTTTCTAGAATACGATACGCCATAAATTTTTCCAGAGATTCTAGAGTGCGATACGCCATTAATTTACACATTTTAAACAGTAATAATTACTGTTTAATATGTGTGAAAATTACAGACAAACTGACTATTTATGGGATTTGATCTGTTACACCTTCCAATTAATAAGACATACATGTCTAGATCAGCACTCCACCCATTGAGTTATAAAGCTCATGGGGGCACTGCACTGATGAGCATCCCAATTAATAAGTGCACAAAATATTTTTGTGACTGCAGCCGGTGTGGACATCAGAAAAAACACTTTGTTTATTTCATGCTTAAAACATTAAAATAACAACATAGAGAACTAAATATATTATAAATAATAATGGGCATTTTCACACACAAAACAAATCATAAACAAAGTTCTCACATGCAAGAGTTCATTTTCTAAATCAGAAAATGTTTATTATTTTATTATTAGAGTTTACTCTGAATCAGAAAATAGAAACAAATTTTCAAAAATTTACTTTAGAATCTGGGAGTAATCGCTAAAAATAGTTTTTTATAGGAAGCCATTTCGAAGTCAACCTGTCGTCAAAAGGACTCAAAAACGTTTCGTACAAACTCATTTCGTCTTCCCTAATGATTTTTATGCCAACATTCAATGGAATATCCACAAAAAATATAGAAATCGTACCTGTATATTTGGCAACCAGCATGTTTTCCAATCAGCCGTGCCCTTCGCTATTAAAATTTATAAATCAACACGACCTATTTGTATTAACAACTAAACAACAAACTGTCAAACATGTTTTGAAAGGTATTGGCTGGGGATGCAAATATTGTGCTTTAAGTTTTATGCTAACACGTGCGATACGCCAATACGCCATACATTTCTACATAAACGTTGTCAAACCGAGTTAGGAAACACTCAAGTTTCGGCCCAAGACAAAATCGATTCCGACCCTCGTCCTCGACTTTGTGGCATCATTTGACAGTTTAAATGGGCAAGTAACGTACAAAATAAACAAGTAACTAAAAATTCATACTATAATCATCAAAGTAAGACTATTGTGGATGAATTTCGATAGCTATATACGTACTTGTAATTTTTTGAATATCACTTTCTTTACACAACGCGCTACATTTCTTCGGGCTGATTTTAACGGTTTATAATTTGGGACCCCTGCAGCGCTGTTCCCGCCCATCAGTGGTTCCCGCCAAAATTCACTTGCTTCTAATTGGCTACCATCTGATCCAATCACTGATTTTGCTGAGACACTGTTCTCATGTTTTGTAGATAAAGAGCCATATAGTAGAATATTGTCAAAAACTTTCATGAGTTTGTAAATGCTTGTTTATTCATAATATTAACTTAAGAGTACAATATTTGTATGACCAATTTGGTGTGATTTTACATGACTTCAATTCAATTTATATCAATCGTATTTATACTTATTACTTTAGTCTTTACTAGTAACTATTGCACTTCCGATGCACTACAAAATATATTTCTATACAGTTAGCTATAACTTAACCACAAACTTAAAAGTTAAGAAACTTTCAACGTCTGATTAAGACACTTCCGTGCCGATTTAGATTATGATACCTGTTTAAATCTTAAAAGTAATTTATTTTCTGTCCTGTATGGTCATTGTCCTTTTCGGTTCACTTTCTCTCAAACCAATCTTTACTTTCCATATCCCTATCTGCGCTGAAATCCAGGATATTCTTTCTCGACAGAACCCTTTTGTACGGCTTTTTTAGGATTTCTTTCGCAGTTGTACGCTTCTAATTAAAAAAAGAAAATAACTTGATTTTGCCTGCGTTTTGTTTGAAGAATACAACACAAAAAATACTGGTAGAAAATCTTCAACCTTCAGGCTTGACTGACATTTTTGTCATGCACGTAATCGCTTGCTGTGTTTTAATAGCTGAATGGGATTATATCTATAGGCTGGGGGCATAGACGGATTTTCATATTTTTTACTGGGGTGGTGCCAGAAATTTTAGGGGGGTGAGCCGTGAGCAGGTGACTGAAGCAACACAAAGTGTCACCAAACCCCAGTAAGGTCTATATTCTAGGAGTGGAGCACTAGAGCCGCGAGGGGGGTCTAGAGAGCAGAAAACAAAGTATCCCAGGACAAATTTGAAAAAATCATGATTTGTAGCTTCGAAAAAAAGTTTTTTGAAGTTGTCATATCAATGGATTTGGCATGTCCGATTGTCTGTTGAGACTTGAGAGAGTTAAAGACTTAAAGTTAAATGAACCTGTAAAGTGTATACCCAATACACAATATGCTTTTACTTTTATAAAGTCATTGACATTGTGTTGCTTGAATCTGAGTACAATTTATGATGCAACTTGAACTACTCTGAACTACCATACTGTACTGTACATAATTGATATTTCAAAACTTTTGCTTAAATTGAAAAAAAAAACACTAAACTTTTACTTAAAAGCTTTTACTTAAAAAAACTTTTACTTAATTTTACTTAAAAACTTTTACAAGCACAACTGTCTGATTAGACTCATTACGAGTCATTCATTGATATAAAACAAGTAAGTGGACAAGTACTGGTGTAAGACATTGTGTAGCCTAAGTAATGAGGACCAGTAGTCCAAATTTGGTTAACCTTTTATATTTATTTACTCCGACTCCTATGATGAACATGTACGCAAAAAACAAGGGAAACTACGATTAATTAGATAGAAACTAAAATACGTGGGAATTTTTATGGGACACGGTAAAAGGCTAGGATATAAGAGCGAGAGATTGAATTTGAACAGGATTGCCTTTCCTACTCAAATCTTTCCTACTCAAATTCAATCTCTCGCTGTTATATCCTCGCCTTTTCTCGTTTTTTTTAGTTTCTATCTAATCGTAGTTTCCCTAGACATGTTCAGAAATAAAGGATAAGCATTTTTGACTACTGGTCCTCTCATTATTTAGGCCACACAATGTCTTATACCAGTACTTGTCCAATTACCTATTTTATACTAAATAAAAGTGGACTATTTAAGTATTTATGTATTATGCCGAATATTGGGGGGTTGAAATTTTTTTGGAGGGGTGGACTTTTTGTTGGGGGGGGGATTATATCTAATATTGGGGGTAGCACCCCCTGCACCCCCCCCCCCCAGAAAATCCGTCTATGGGTTGGGGTGAAATTTCAGCCGGGAAAACCAGGATAAAAGCTTTCCATCGGTAATCAAAGCAGGAAACAGGAGTAATCAAAGTATAGGAAACATTAAAACAATTTTCAAGGATGACCATATACACTGGGAAGTTTCTTACCTGCACGCACGCACGACTGAATGAAGTAGTACATCTTCGAGTGTGCGTTTCAGCAATGGATGAAATCAAACAAAGAGCAATTAATAGCACATAAAATGTTGCAGCCATGGCGTGTAATAGAGTTTCTAAGTTTCTTAGTTTCACTAGGAGTACTGTTCCTCTTGATGGTTGGTCAATTAACTTCTTGTTTTGTCCTCAGTTCTGCGCAGCTTGTCTCTTTTTATATGCTTACATCTTTCGCTATCATTTATAAATTATTCACGTTAAATAAACCCACGCTTAATACGTTATCGCGTCGTATGGCCATTTGCATGAGCATGGAAAAACATCAAGCTGGCAGAAATATAAAAAAGAAACCAAAATTATCTTACGTGCATAAAGGTTACTGTCTAAAATTGTAATTTTAAAATTATATTCCTTATTATATAATCGTTTGTCATTCGAAATTGTAAATTGAAGGTTTAATATGTTCTTTGATTTTTGTTTAATGAAAAAATTTGTTCCGCTTTGGTTTGGCAAACCTATGCTTGGATTTTAAGATAATTTTATTTCTCAAGTTCATTGCAAAAAGCTTAAACTATATATAACTTAGATATAATCAACCTCCGCCCAAGCAGATTCGAAATGTTGTGCAAGAGGAGCATAAATTAAAAATAAATCTTTGACTTTGTCCCTCTAAGGCACTGATAAAAGTGCTGAACATAAAATACTGAAGCTTATAATCGTGTCCGTACCAGTTCATTGTGCTGGAGTATTTAAGTAGTATATATAGTAGAGTATTTCTCTTTTCTTTTTTGTAAGAGTTTAAAATTAAAGGCTAATTCTGTGCTTTTTGTGCTTGGATGTACTTGGATTCGTGGACTATACTGTTTATGCCTGTTCATTCCGAATCTAAATGCACTGAGGCCCATTTCAACTCAAGAAAATTTTCCGCGGAAGAAAAATGTGTAAAATGCGATTGGCTGACACAAATTTTCCGTCGGAAGAAATTTTGAAGTTGAAAATTTTCAACTTTTAACAATGATATTTTCGGAACATTTTCTGTCCGTGGAAAATTTTCTTGAGTGGAAATGGGCCTTAACTCCTGAGCAAAATTTATCCGAACCGAACTTTTTTGACAGATCACCTGAACCGTATGAAAAATTTCCTGTAGTGTATAGCCTTGAAATGTTTAAGTAAATGGACCATTTGCATTATAAACTAAATTTTGATCTAGATAAAAATTTCATCACATGCAGCTTGAAAGAGCATCACAAAATTAGTAATATTCCGAAGTTTCTTTGCGAAATGTTGTAAAATGCGGATAATATAGCCTTGCGAAATTTTCAATTTTCAGTCATTTGTATTACAAACGGGAAATTGATGCCCCGACACCCGATTGGGCAGTCAATTTCCCATGTGTAATACAAAATGACTGAAAAACGGCAAACTTCGGAAGGCTATATTATCCTCATTTTACAACATTTCGCAACGAAACTTTGGAATATTACTAATTTTGTGATACTCTTTCAAGCTGTGATGAAATTTTTGTCTAGATCAAAATTTAGTCTATAATGCAAATGGTCCATTGGCCTTTTGGTTCTACCTTAGCTTGCTCCCCTCGCATGATACTGCATTAAATGGCAAATTACGATACAGATTGTTGCGACGTCATAAAATTACATCACAGTATAGGATTTGTTCAGGGCTTTACTTACCCTGGATTCCAGAGCCTTCGACAGTAAATAATAAATTGAAATGTCGCGAAGGCTCTGG